TCCAGCGGCCTGATTGTCTATTCCTGCACCAGTCGCCTTATGGCGCAACTCCCTGGTATGGAGAGACGACCTGACCTCTTCCAGAGACACGGTATCTTTCCCAACGATGAAAGATTGTACGAAATTTTCATACGACAATGGTAGTGAAACCAACAAAATTAAGGCAGCATCTTCATCCTCTACCTTAACATCAATATTACGCAACTCCAAAAGAATTGTATTTAATTGATCCAGATGGTCTCTAAGAGGGGTACCTTCCTGCATTCGGAGACCGAACAGACGTTGCTTCAGAAGCAACTTGTTGGTTAAAGACTTTGTCATGTATAGACTTTCCAGCTTCAACCATAGACCAGCGGCAGTTTCTTCATCTGCAACCTCAGTGATGACATCATCTGCAAGACACAACATGATTGTCGAATGTGCCTTCTCCTCGAAAGCAGCCGACTCAACATCGTCAGCCCTAACGTCCTTTGATAATGGCGTCCACAAGCCTTGTTGCTTCAACAAAGCTCGCATCTTGATCTGCCATAGACTAAAACTATTCCTCCCTGTGAATTTGTCGATCTTTACGTTCAAAGCAGACATCTTTCTCACCAAATTACAAACCTCGATTACCCGAGCTCTGATACCAGTTTGTTATGACGGATGTAAGAAAGATAACAAACAATAAAGAAACGAAAGAACAAACACACACAGATTTAACGTGGTTCACCAACAATATGTTGGCTACGTCCACCTAACAGAAGAGAGGAGAGCTTTTACTGATTGAGGAGAGAGATTACAGAGGAATTTTCTAGGTGACTGATCTATGTCTGAATGCCTTACAAATGAACCTATTTATTGGAAAGATGGCAGCCAACTTGGCTGCCTAAATCCAGTGGGAACTGAGCAGTTGACAGCCCACAATACTGCTGTCGTACAGCTGGCCCACCTCACCAACTAGCAACCCACTTGCCCAATTGTCTAGGCCTCCTTCCAGCCACTTTCCAGCTGGTTTCCAGCCACTTTCCAGACAGGTGCAGCCATTGTTGACTAGTCAAATAGGTTAGAATTCAAGGCATTCCAACAAAAGGGGTTAGATCTTTGTATTCACAACCCAATTCAATATAATATTTTCTCTCTTATTTTCTTCAATGTATTACAACAAATTCAGGTAAAACGAGCTGAAATTTGTCATTATAATTTGGAACTAATTGAACATTGTAGCCAGAGAAGTAGGACCTGGTGACAGAATCCGGAGGGCCTTGGTGATCGTAGACAATGGCCTTTGACGGCGGAGACATGGCCGCCGAAAACGCCCGGACTGCGGAGGTCACGACGCGAGGACTGAGAAAGCACCGCCATAACTGCGGAGGCGGCGACTCCGCAGCTCGGATGAGGCATTTAATGGAATGACATCCAATTCTTGCCATCAGCGTGTGAATTTCCTCTCCTTTTAGATGAGGATAGATTTTTGTGCAGTATAGTGTAAAACTAGAGAGAAGAAACGAATAGAGAGAGTATTTTCAAAAAAAATATCAGTGCACATAAAAAAGCTTTTGGTAGGGATAAGCATGGTACGGTATCATACTGTATTTAGTTCGTATCGATATGGTACCAAATATTTCAGTTCGGTATAAAATTTTATGTTGTATCGATCCCAATCCCAAAGCATCGGTTCGATATGATTCGGGATGATTCGGTATCAGTTTTGGTACGAATCGTGATAAATATATACGTACCTAGTTACACTATAAAGATAAAAAAATTTAAAAATAAAAAAATAAAATGCGAGAAATGCTTATGAAAGTTAGTTTCCATTTCACAAACTAAAAAGGACGAGTGATAACAAAGTACTGTTTCAAATGTTTGTTAATATTCTTATACTCATCTACAAAAAATAAAAAAACTCTTATGAAAGTGCAACTTAAACGTAATGAAATTAAACTAAGTTGTCTATATAAATTTTTTATTTAATGAAGAAATATAAAAAGATTATTATTTTTATAATATATTAGTATATATGTTCGATTCGGAAATTTCGGTATGAGAAGTAACCTCATACCGTTCCCAAATACCAGACCGACCATTCGGTTTAGTACGGTTCGGGCACTTTGCAGTACTTTATCGGTTTGGTATTTTTCAGTTCGGCATTCCCGGTTTTTTCAGGAAATATCGGGATTGGTTCGGTCCTTGCTCACCCCTAGTTTTTAGGTGGCCCCACAATCTGGCCCGATAGGGTTATGAGGAGTAAACATAATCTCAATCTAGTCTTTAAAGAAGCCGTCTCATGCTCGATACGCACAAAGAACTATGACAAATAATAGAACTTCCATATTGGCAATGTCAGTATACGAGCCTAGGATCAATGGACTTAAAATCATCTCCTTTGACCAGTTGAGCTAATCATGGGGGCATAAAAATGTTTTTAGAACAAGGGGGGTGGGAGCCTGGGAGGCCACAATGGAGGCGAGAGTGGTTTGCCTGTGAGGGGGGCAGACGATTCCCTTTTCCAAGTGGTGGTGAGTTTTGGAGATATAAATATGAGTGAAATGATTACTTGAAAATATTAAAACACGTGATTTAATTAGTGATAGATGAGGTAGCTGCACTAAGAATGATCAATGATTAAGCCAGATATCAAATCATTCAAACGTTCATATTGATATCTTCCAAATTTGAGAAATATCGAAACCCACTATTTTAAATGATTTGTGATATCGAATTCGATATTTCTTTTGATTTCAACAAACATCAAAAGGAGATTCTGATATCTAAAGATATAAGAATTCATATCTCTTTTTAATTTTTACTCACCAAACACACCATTAAATTTCATAAAATATTCACAAAAGTATTGTTACATAGAAGATAGCATTGCACCACCATTCACTCCAAAAAAAAATGATTCAGTGTTCTTTACTATTTAGATATTTCTAATTAAATTAAATTAATTTTTCAATTAAAATAATCTATTTATTTTTATGATTTTTTTTAAATATTGGGGTCATGTTTTTATTTTTTTCCTAATATTTTAGCTCTACTTTATTTTTTTAGACCAGGCAAAATTAATTTGACTTGTTTTTTATTGTAGCTTTGACCTAAAAATACCAAATTTTGACCAAATCAGAAGATGACCAAACCCGAAATAAGCTACTAAAAATGAGTCAAACCCAATTAAACTCAACCTCAATATGACCGACTCGCTACCTTAAGAGTTTTTCATAATCATATATTTAAAAATGAAAAATAATATAATTAAAATAAATTTGTGTTTTGATTTTTTTATTACTCATTTTTAGTGTAGAAACTTATAGTTTAAAACAAATTTCTAATGATTTTAAATAATTATCTTACTTTTTCTAAAGTGATACATATTTAATTATTTATATTACTCATTATATTGTTAAATATATTTAAAAAGTAATGAAAATTTAAAATATAATGCTGCTAAGAGGTTTAATATTTATATTTTGATTATTTTTTCGTGCAAAATGGAAGTGTGAGTATGAACTTAAATATTTTACTAATAAATCTCATAACCTTTGGGTCCACCCAAACTCGATGATACTGAATCATGAACATGTCGTTCTCATACCGAATCTAAACTCACTCAAACTCGATGTATTCCAAATCTGAAATGACTAAATCCTGATCACCCAATTTATAAGCTCAATGATTTTTTAAAGTTCATGTTCATTTTATGAAAATTGTTAGCCTTGCCTATATCAATTTCACTTGTTTTGATATATAAAATAAGTCTTATTGTGCTTACACTAACCCATCATTGCAGGAACACAACAAACCCAGCTTCACTGCACTTGTTTGTGTAGGTCCAAGAAGCTCAAATCTAGCTTCTTTAGCCAAAATGTCAAGAAGGATAAGTGTAGTTATTGAATTCAGTATCCCTTACACTTTCTAAACATTATATTTATATTATAGAAATGTTTTATAAAGTGTAAACAAAAACTCTTTGCCACTGTGTAAACAAAAACTCTTTGAAAAGTGACTTTCCAGTGCGAAAATGCATGTGGCAATACATCACTACATGTCACGGTAGGTAACTACCGTATGGTTCAGTTTTTTGCGAAAGAATCCCACTACGCAAATGTCTATGGTGGTAGGAACCTATCGTGTAACGGTTTTCGGTTAGCGACTGACCGTTGGATGTCTGATTTTGAATTTTAATCACCTTTGACCAATCTTAATCACCATCAAACGGTCATTAACATTAATATCTCGACTCTTCTACACTTAGATACTATAAATACCCCTTCCAAGGTCTTTCAAACACACAACCAAGTGCTATATCATCTTAATACATTCTTGAATACTCTCTTGCCCCATCCTGTATGTTTTAGTTGTTGCTCTTATATTCTTTTATATTCATCTAATTTTAAGCTCTGACTTTTCAACTTCAACATATCACACACAAGGAGATATTAGTTTTGATACCTACACTTTCATTCATAGGTTCTTGTAATTTTGAGTTTTAATTATATTCTCTACTAATATTCCTGTTGTAATTGGTTGGGATAGTCGTTGTTAAATCTTACTTACTGGGAAGGGGCGGGGGGGGGGGG